TGCCTTACATTTCCTAGAAAATATCTCCATCTTCTCTCTAGAAAACAAGAGTAGCTTGTTCTTCAAGCCAAAAAAAGCCTTTGTCAAGATTCCAAGTTTTGTTTCCAAGATTCAATCTTTCCTCTATTTTAGCATCTAGAGGGGTAAGATCTAAGCTTGTCTAGTCTTTTTGGTTCCTTCTTAGTTGTCTTTTTGTTAAAGGTTGGATCTTTATGATCTTTTGGTTTGATCTTGAAGTGGGTTTGGCTAGTGAGCTTGTTGTGGTGTAAGAAGAGTCTTTTGGTCTTCAAGAGGTAACCCATGATCTACAAAACCTATTTTGCTTACCTATATATGATTTCTTGGCTTCTACTTGTGTTTTGTTGTGAAATGTGAGATATGCATTTATCTTGTGATATTGCATATCTAGAGCTTGTGTTTAGGTTTCCTTTGTGCCATTGCTTGGCATATTCCTTGGTTCAAGTCATTTTGTTGTGCTTGGTGAGATTTGGCATGTTTTGGACTTGAATTTGTGGTTGGAGGAGAAAATCCCCGAAGGGATTTGTTGTGGTACAGGGTCGTACCCGTGAGCGGAACGGCGGGCGGGGCACCACCCGCCGGCCTACCCGCGGGGAGCGTTGCCTTGTGGGTTATGTACCCGCGGGCAGAACCACGGGTGGGGCACTACCCGTGGGTCCACCCGCGGGGTACATGGTTGGTGTGGTGATGGGATTTGTTCCCGTGTTTTGTTTGTCTCGGTCTTTGATCTTTTGACCTCCCGTTGTTCTTTTGTGGATCTATTTGAGCGTCTTCTTGATGTTTCGTAGGTCTAGAGCTTCTCGATAGGTATCCATGTAGGATCTTTGGTGTTTTGTATCGTGCTAAGTGTTCAACCTTGTGTTTCGTTGAACCATGTGGTGTCTTGTGTGTTCCTCGGAACTATCTTGAGGTTCCTCTTTGTTGAGCTTGCTAGTTATTATCGTAATGCTAGCGTCGTTGTTGTCGTTGGGTGATGACCCTTCTCTTGTGAGTATGTTTCGTACCTTTTCTTGCAATTCGTTGATTGTTTCGAGTGAGTGGTGGTGCGTGTGTGGCTCTACCTGGATTGCATGATTAGTGGTATGGGACACTAGTCACCAAGGTATTGAAGCGGTCGTCGTGGTGGCCGTGACGTGAATTTATGGAGGTGGCTGAGTCCACGTGATTGGGGGATAACATTGTGTTATCCGGGCATGTGTTGCCGTGAATTGGTGGGTTTTCGTTGGTGGTTATAGGTGGGGGACGACGGTCCCGGAGGAATAAGGTTGGACTTGGCTGTACAGGGGTTTTCCGGAGGTAATGGGTGGCACAGAAGGTACAAGGATGGGGGGTAGCCATAAGGTTGGAACAGGGCATAAGGAAGGCATATCAACTCGTGATGGGTGATGTCACGAGGGCTTGTAAAGCCGGTGTGTGGTGAGTTCTCTTCTCTCGTGACGTGTGTAGTCATGGAGGCTTGTGGTGTTTTGGCATGTGTTGCCGTTGCGTGAGTCTTTATCGTTGTGTGTGGTTGTCCTTTGTGGTTGGGACGTGTTCCCGGTGTTGTCCTTGTGAGTGGTGAGTCTTGCGTTGTCTTTTGATCTTGGCTTTTGACTTATATATATGTATTCCGTTTTGAAAATGGTTTTCATATTATATATCTACCTATTTATGATACTTAACGGTATTGGTGGGTTACCAGCATCTTTCGCTGACCGGGCGTCGCCCCGATGTTTATCTTTGTATCTTTCAGGTGTTGAGCGCGATGTCTAGAGCCGGTAGATTAGTTCCTGTTTCGTTAGACCGTGTTTTGAGGCCTGTGTGCCCATGTTTTTAGTTAGTTGTAGTTGGATGTTTTGGGATTGTAGTTACTCTTGCATATTGTCGCCTTAGCGTATGCCAAGTGTGGTATACGTGGCATAACAGCCCGGTTTTGGATTTCTTATATCCAAGTTATCTTTTATCTTCCGTTGTGCTAGTTTTGTGCTTGATCTGCAGGTGTTAAGACTCGTTTTAAGTCTTGTTGTTTTTGTTTTTTTTGGGGGGTGTTACAGATGATCTATCAACCTCCCAAGTTCCAGCAGTTTGATGGAAAAGGCAACCTGAGGCAGCACATCGCCCACTTCGTTGAAACCTGTAATGATGCAGGAACATACGGAGATCTCCTTGTCAAGCAGTTCGTCTGCTCTCTGAAAGGCACTGCCTTTGATTGGTACACAGACCTGGAGCACGGTTGCATTGACGTCTAGAATGATATGGAGCGCGAGTTTTTGACCCGCTTCTACAGCACCAGGAGGACTGTCAGCTTCTTGGAACTCACCACTATCCACCAATGGAAGGGTGAGCGTGCGGACGCTTACATCGAGAGATGGAGGGATTTATGCCTTAACTGTAAAGAGAAGATATCACAAAGCTCCGCAATCGAAATGTGCATCCAAGGGATGCACTTCGAGCTCTCTTATATCTTGCAGGGAATCAAGCCTAGAACATTTGAAGAACTATCCAGTCGTGCTCACGACATGGAGTTGAGCATCGAAGCCAATGGAGGGCTCGGCATGTCAAGTATCCCTAGCTCATCCAAGGCACCTGTAAAACAAGAATTCAAGAAAGGCGGCAAGCCCTTCCCGAAACCAGAAAAGAAATAGGCCATGAACGTAAAAACAGCACCAATGCGGGTTTTCGCCAAAGTAACTGAAAATCCCAGGCTAAGGTCATTTTCCCGCCCATCTCGGGGTACTAGAATCATTGAAGAGATGCAGCAAAAACAGTATCCGCTCTTGGACTCTGATGTGTCACCCATGTTTGATGAATTGTTAAAGCTTAAGTTGATTGAATTACCGGAGATGAAGCGTCCCGAAGAAGCTTCTAAGGTGGACGACCCCGACTATTGCAAGTATCATCGTCTCTTCGGACACCCGATTGAAAAATGCTTCGTCTTTAAAGATAAGGTGATGAGACTTGCTCGTGATGGAAAGATTGAGCTGGCTGATGCAACTGCCAGCACCAACCAAATTTCATGCGGAAGGTTCGCTCCGTTAGTTGTGGAGAGTGATGAAGAGGATGGGGGCAAGCAATACAAATGCCCGCTTCCATTTATTGTGAAACATGCTACTAGGCAACAGCCGGAGTTACCACAGGTCAATCCGGTATGCGAAAAGGATTGGGTAAATGTTACCCACAAAAAACAAAGGAACAATGTTGGACATGTTAGATCTTTGAAGAGAATAGCGAAGCAATGGGTTGAGAGAAAGCCAGCAAGGGACCTCGCCTATGACACAAAGATGAGAGGACGTCCCGGCACGTCTCGAACACCAGTAGCCCTGGCTCAATACATGCCGAAGGCGCTTCCTCTGCATGGAACAAATATTCGTGGAACTCGCTTGAATATTAAAGAGAGACATGTTGAAGAGGAGGAATGTTCATTCCCCGTGATTGAGGGAGGTGACGAGGTTCAAGTCCACAAAGCCGCGTCTTATACTGCCGAGATAACTTTTAAAGATGAGGATCTATTGCTTGGTGGTACACCACATAATCGTCCATTGTTTGTTGAAGGTTATGCCTGCGAGCAAAAGGTTAAAAGGATTTTGATTAATCAAGGGTCGGCTGTGAACATTCTGTCACTCCGGGCGATGAAGGAACTCGACATTTCCACTGATGAGCTTTCTCAAAGCCGCTTAATGATTCAAGGATTTAATCAAGGCGGACAAAGAGGACTGGGTACCATTAGACTCGACCTCAGGATCGGAACACTAAACTCAAGTACACTATATATGTTATGTGATAGATGCGAGGACGTCGTACAACTTGCTGTTGGGCCGGCCTTGGATACATGAGAATGGAGTAGTTCCCTCGTCCTGGCACCAATGCCTCATGTTTGAAAAAGGCGGGTGATAGAAAAAGTAGTCGCTGATGAAACTCCCTTCATTGAAGCAGAATCATACTTTGCAGATGCAAAGTTTTACTTCAAGAAACAAGTTGTAGAGGAGGCTGAGCAACGCAATGTTGACACACCTCTTGATCCGAAGTGGAAAGGCAAGCAAGTTGTAGTCCAAGCTCATTGCGACAAGGAACTTGTTTTCCCACTCGCAAGGATTGAAACGTTAAAAACAGCAGCTCCAGTTAAACCGCTTGAAGATGAAGCTCAAGTTGGGGCAAGTCAAACAGTGCCCGCTAAGCGCACTGGCGGCTTCGACCATAATGCATATAAACTTCTATTCAAAGCTGGATATGATCCCAAAGAGCCACAAAAGCTGGGGAAACTCATCCCAGAAGCTGGTGGTAAAGGCAAGTCAAATCAGCAGGAGCCGCATGAACGGAAAGGGTTGGGTTATGTTCCCCCTAAGCCAGTGCGAATATTCATAAACAGAGCCACAAGTAATTACATCACTTCTATAGATGAGGAAGAAAGAGACAAGAAGCAGTCTGTTTTTTATAGAATCGGAGATGTAGAATCAAGACAATCAGTCTTCCGTAGACTTGGGCCGAATCCCAAACCGGCTAAGAGAAAATCAGTACATGACAGAATCGGGCCTACTCAGAGTTCAAAAGAGCAGACCAACCCTCCTACTGAAATAGAACCCTCAAAAAGGCTCAAGAGTGCCGTTCCGTCTCGTATGAGACGAGAAGTTGATATTCATGTCTCGTATGGTGAAGTTTTGAAAGTCCAACCAAGAACCATTGTACACACCCAAGTGCAAGGAAGGAATCAAGAAAACATTGATTCAAGTCGTGAGGCAACACCAAGTCAAGATGAGATGGCATCGTCATTTCATATAACATTATATGATGAGACTCCAACCGAAGGTGAAGACGCAGAGGATGCGCCTCAAGAGCTAGAAGAAGGGGTACAAGCCGCAGTGGACGAACTAAAAGAGGTAGATCTAGGAACTCCTGAAAGTCCTCAACCTATCTTCATTAGTTCACTCCTTTCCAACGAAGATTAAGAAACATATGTCACACTTTTGAAAGAATACATTGATGTATTTGCGTGGACATACAAAGAGATGCCAGGGTTGGACCCAAAGGTAGCCGTGCACCGCTTGGTAGTGAAAAAGGGGTGTCGCCCTATTAAGCAAGCTCAACGGCGCTTTCGCCCCGAGCTCATTCCCTCAATTGAAGCAGAACTCAACAAGCTTATAGAGGCTGGTTTCATTCGCGAAGTTAAATACCCAACCTGGATATCCAGCATTGTTCCTGTGTGCAAGAAGAATGGCCAGATCCGTGTGTGCGTACTATTTCGAGATCTTAACGTTGCATGCCCGAAAGATGACTTCCCGCTCCCTATCACAGAGTTAATGATAGATGTCGTAACTGGACACGAGATCATGTCATTTATGGATGGCTCATCCGGTTATAATCAAATCCGCATGGCGCCAGAAGATGAGGAATTTACAGCGTTTCGTACGCCAAAAGGTATCTACTGCTACAAAGTGATGCCCTTTGGTTTGAAAAATGCAGGTGCTACATACCAAAGGGCTATGCAGACTATATTTGACGACATGTTGCATAAAATGGTGGAATGTTACGTAGACGACCTGGTTGTGAAGTCGAAACTTTGCACAGATCACATGATGCATCTAAGACAAGTCTTTAACCGCTTGCGGAAGTTTCAACTCAAAATGAACCCCCTGAAGTGTGATTTCGGGGTTGCTGCTCGAAAATTCCTTGGGTTTACTGTTCGACATAGGGGCATTGAGATCGAACAAGCAAAGATCGACGCTATAATGAAGATGCCTGAGCCAAGGAACCTTCATGAGCTTAAAAGCTTGCAAGGGAAGTTGGCTTATATAAGAAGATTCATATCAAACCTATCAGGAAGATGTCAGCCCTTTAGCCGATTAATGAAGAAGGGTGTCCCGTTTGTATGGGATGAGGCCTGCAAGAATGCATTCCAAAGCATCAAGTCCTATTTAATGAAGCCGCCTGTGCTGACTGCTCCAATTCCAGGACGCTCGCTGATCCTTTACATCTCCACCCAAGAAAGCTCTGTGGGTGCTTTACTTGCACAAGAGAATGATAATGGGAAAGAAAATGCCCTTTATTATTTAAGTAGAATGATGACGCCAAATGAGCTCAAATATCTGCCAATTGAGAAGTTGTGTCTGGCCCTTGTATTCTCCATCAGGAAGCTCAAGCATTATTTCGAAGCACATACAATTCGACTAGTTTCCAGGGCAAACCCAATGAAGTATGTCATGGCAAAGGTTGTTCTTTCCGATCGACTTGCGAGGTGGTATTTATTACTTCAACAGTTTGAGATCATTTATGTACCACAGAAGTCCATCAAGGAGCAAGCCTTAGCGGATTTCCTAGCTGATCATCCAATTCCTGCCGAATGGGAGCTGTCCAGTGACCTACCTGAAGAGGATGTGCTTGTGGTTGAAGTTTTACCTCCATGGAAGATGTACATTGATGGAGCGGCACACAAAGAGGGGGCAGGCGCTGGAGTTGTCTTTGTTACGCCTGAAGCAGAAGTGCTTCCTTATTCATTTACCTTGACGGAACGCTGCTCGAACAATGTTGCCGAGTATCAAGCACTCATTTTGGGACTTGAAATTGCAGCTGATATGAAGCAGCTAAGGGTTAATATATATGGGGACTCCAAATTGATTGTCAACCAAGTACTTGGGGTTTATGAAGTAAAAAAGCCAGAGTTGATTCCATACAACAGTTACGCAAAGATGCTCCTGCATTGGCTAGGAGATGCTACGATTGAACACATCCCGAGGAAACAGAATAAGCAAGCCGATGCCCTAGCTGCTTTAGCTTCAACTGTGTCCCATCCTATAGATGAGGCTCGGTTGCGCGTGTGCCAAAAATGGGTGGTCCCTCCAATCTTCAAACACGATGACTCTCTTGAAGACATTGTTGAACTCCCGACTGCTTCTGTCTATGAGGTAGATAAAGAGGATTGGAGGCAATCATTGATTGACTACCTTGTTGACGGGAAGTTACCTCAAGACCCTCGTAGGAGGGTAGATGTAAGACGTCGAGCTCCTCGCTTCATATATTTCAAGGACGCGCTATACCGGCGCTCATTTGTTGGTGTGTTTCTTCGATGTTTAGGTGAAGAGGAAGCTTTACAAGCGATGGAGGAAGCTCACTCTAGAGTGTGCGGTGCTCATCAGTTACATTTTCACATCAAAAGGATGGGTTATTACTGGCCTACGATGGTGAAGGATTGCATAAACTATGCACGTAGATGTCAAGCATGTCAATTCCATGTGAACTTTATCCATCAACCTCCTGAACCGCTACATCCGACAGTAGCATCGTAGCCATTTGATGCATGGGGGCTCGATGTGGTTGGTCCTATTACACCCAAGTTATCAGCAGGGCATTCGTATATATTAGCAGCCACCGATTATTTCTCAAAGTGGGCTGAAGCAGTGGCTTTAAAAGAGGTGAAGAAGGAAAATGTTGCAGACTTCATCCGAGTGCACATTATCTATCGTTTTGGCATCCCTCGGTATATCCTAACCGACAATGGGAAACCATTCGATAATAAATTGATGGATAAAATCTGCAAACTTTTTGAGTTCAAGCAAAGAAATTCATCAGCTTATTATGCAGCTGCAAATGGACTTGCCGAGGCTTTTAACAAAACTCTATGCAATCTACTAAAAAAGGTGGTGTCGAAGTCAAAACGTGATTGGCAAGACAGGATGGAAGAAGCACTGTGGGCATATAGAACTACATACCGTACACCAACACAAAGCACTCCATACTCGCTGGTTTATGGGGTTGAAGCAGTTTTGCCTCTTGAAAGCCAAATACCTCCTCTAAGGTTAGCTATCCTAGAAGGCCTTACAGACGAGGATAATGTAAAGTTGCGGTTGGCAGAGTTAGAAGCTCTCGACGAGAAAAGGTTACAGGCTCAACAAAGTCTAGAATGCTATCAAGCTCGAATTTCTAGAGCTTTCAACAAGAGGGTGAGAATTCGCTCATTTCAGGTTGGTGACAAGGTGTTGGCGGTTCGTAGACCTATCATTATTACAAGGAAAACTGGGCACAAGTTTACTCCAAAATGGGATGGACCTTACGTGGTACAAGAAGCATACTCAGGAGGTGCTTACAAGCTAATTGATGAAGATGGTGTGCGAGTTGGCCCTATTAACGGGAAATTCTTAAAGATCTATCACCCCTAAGCTCACGGACTACATAATGAATGATATCCACCAAAAATGCAACACGTGGTTAAACTGCTAATGCATCTCGCTTGTCTATAGGTAGGCCCAAGTCATAGACGCTCCTGACCCGCACGAGCTTAAACTATGTACAGTAAACTCCTGGCCCACATGAGTTTAAGCTGTGAACGGCCCTACCTATTCAAATGGTCTTTTGAACTACGTTTGACTTGATCTCCTTTGCAGGAGTACGTAGGCAGCTTAGAAACACTTCCTCTTCTAAGTTCAGTCATAATTAAAATAAACCCCTTTGTGTCCCCTTTATGTCACGTTTGTTCGAATAATGTAGATGTATTGGAGATGGGTCATCTCTGTTCAGGTTGTAATTATGGGTGAATTCTTTTGTTAGATTTCTATTAGAGTGACTCGTTCGGGTTTAGACTTAGTTGCTTCTGTTCATGCTCAAGTTCAATTACTTTCCTCCGAGTATACTTTTTTTCCGTGTATATTTCTGTATATTGCATTGAATAATGACTTGCATAGAGTGTGTACGCTACTTGTCACACGGTCTTAGAGTTCCGTGTTCTTGGCTTCAATCTCCTTCAACTCTTCCTGCGCATCCTTTATCGTTTTCTCCAGGAGGGTTTTTCGATCGGCGGCGTCTTTGAGGGTTTTCTGTTCGTCAAGAAAATGCTCTTCGGTTTGAGAAAATTTCTGTTGAGCTTCTATAAGGACACCTTGCGTTAGAACTTGCTTCGCGGCTTGGTTTCAACGGGCAGTGCATTCGAGAGCTGCGACCGCGCCCGATCGTAATCTTTGGCTTTGTTAAAGAACTCGGCCACTCGTCGCTTCAATATTGATAGGTCCACCCCGTCCCGTCCCATTTCTTGGAGTTGTCTTTCAACGCTTCCTTGGAAAGAAGAAATTCTTTCAGCTGGAATCTCATTAAGCTTCCTGTAGATACTACTCCAAACTCCTGCAATGAAAGCCATGCATTGTGATATAAACGACTCCTCGCCGGGGAAGATAGAGGCTTGGGACGGCTCTGGCTGCGTCTCCTGAGGAGTTGTGTTTAAGGGCGGCGTCGACTGGTGGGATTCTACCTCGAGCTCAAGGGTATTAGAGCGTCCGCCACTTTGTCCCATTGAAGATTGGTGATTTGATGACTGGACATCGTTGCTAACATGTGGCTCGACAAGATCCTGTAAGAAGTGGTGCATGTACGTTAACAAAGGCCAAAGTTCAACGATATACGAAACGGAAGAGTTTGGGGGAAGTATCTTAACCTGGTTCAATGGTCTCCCTCTAGGCCGTTTCCAACAGCGATCTTGATCGTCATCACTACCAGCATTCTCGTCCAAGCTTCGCTGCCTCACTTGCTCCTCCCTGCTCCTTCGAACAGCATGTCCTGAGGCTCTATCCCGAGATGTCATGTCCTCTTGTGCAGGTGTTTTTTTGTTCCTGGAGGTGGTCAATTGGTCTCTTTGTTCTAGAGTTCCTTCCTCGCCAACAGGTACGTTTGGGTTTCCGTTAACGGCTATGTCTGTGAAATGATTCTCGAGAAGGTTTTCACTCACATCGATCAACCAGGCCTTGTACTCGTTCGAAAAATGCTTCCTTGGAGCAGCCGGGCTCATGGGAAATGTCGCCCTAGATTGGGAGTTGACATTATCATATTGGCGGTGAAGTCGAAATCCTTCGGTGAGTGAAACATAACGGACATCCTTCGCCAACAGGCCGAGGGCATATGCTTGATAGAATCCAAATTGACGACTGAAGCGATGCGGCATGTAAGGCTTAGCTTTGCATTGAGACCCTCGGCGCAAAACGAGGAAGCTGGGGCGCAAACATATGAAGTACTCAAAGTTTTCCCTACTCCCTCTATGGTCGTCGTAAAAGATAAAATCTCTATTATCCTTGCGGGAGTTGCAGATCCAAGAAACGTCCCCTTTGAATATCTTCTTACGGGCATCCATCTCGGTGTAATACCTTGCACCACCTTCTCCAGAATTAGTGACCATCTTTGGATTTGATAACGTGAAGCTGGGGGTCTTAAAGTGGGTTTGGTAGTAAGTTGCTAGCCAGCCTTACACGTAATGGATTGGAAAAGGATCTCATATTTGACCAGGAGAGTGGGATTCTGAGATTCAGTTTAAACCAGAATAAATACTAGCAAGTACTGGAGCCGCAAGACATATCTTATCTCCTCTAGCCATCATGCATGCTATTTTGAAAGTCTCTGGGCGAATGGTTCTTGTTGGTGTACCTGGTAGGACAAACACGCAAAGCCAACAAGATAAAAACGCGACCAAGTAAGCTTCCTTTTCGAAACGCTGGGAGATGCCTAGTTTAAGAAAGGGCGTCCTGCTCACATCTAACCACCTGATGGATTTGTTAAGTTCTCCGCTTGGGTTGTGGGTATTCTTTGGCCAGGATTTCCTGTCCTTTTGAGATGCAGGTGGAGGAGCTGGATGTGTTCGCGGTTTTCTGCACCAGAAGTCAATCCATCGCGATGCTTGAACGTAGGGGGTGCCACCCTCTTGCTGGTTTAAGAGATAAAATGCCTCGAATATGCTTTCACAACACTTGTTTGGGCCCATTTTTAGGTCCAGGACACTCGGGATGTGTTCGTCATAGATGCCACCGGACAGTGGTAGTCCCCCAAGAACGTGCAAATCCCGAGGTGATATGCTCACCTCACCAGACGAGGTGACCAGGGTGTTGGTTCGAGGGCACCATGCTTCGCAGAAGGCTTTGATAATGTTGATGTTGCAGTCATATGTAAACAATGATGCGTACACAGCATCATATATCTTCCCCTCCTTTAAGGTGTCGTGGGAGAAGTGAAGCATTTCTTCAACCCATTCCTAATATCCTTTTAAAAAAGTGAATTCGCCCTCGAAGTCTATGTCTTGGCCCCACGAGACCTCAGCATTAAGTATACGATGCCCCAGTGTAGGAAGGGCGACGTTGGAAGGTTGGTGCTGCATTCCGGGTAGCAAGGTCCAAACCATGGATGGCGGGCATTCGTACTCTGGGGTCCAGTTGCTCTCATGATACGACACCGTGAGCTTTGGCGGGTCAAGTATTACTATGGGTGGGTTAACCGTCAGTGTGACTTGATGATTGCTATTTTTGCTCGATATCACCATGACCTCTTGCCCGTTACGTCGTTGATCTTGAAAGTATACCATCTTGAACGTGTCAAAGTCGAAAATTCGCTGCAAAAAAAAAAAAAAAAAAAAAAAAAAAAAAAAAAAAAAAAAAAAGGAACAATAACTATGATATGTTATGCACAAATGTATAGCATATACATAACACAAAATTAAATTGACGAGTTATATATCTATGCAATAATGATTGAATACTTATACTACATGTGGACTACATATGTTAACTAATACATTGTATACATATACATACACAATATTATATAATTATTATTATTATTATTATCATTTTTATTATTATATTAGTATTATTATTATATAAAAAATCAAAAGCGGTTCTCTCTCTATGGTTTCTTAGAGAGTTTTCTCCTAGTCTTTTCTAGGGTTTTTTTTTCCGTTCGATCATCTCTTCTTTGTGAGACTGTCAATCGTGTTTTAACGGAGGATCCATGGATGTCGAGCAGCTGCAGAAAAGCTGGGCCGATCTTGCGCTAGAGGAGGAGGAGACCGGGGGGTTGGACGCCCCAGTCCAGGATGGGGAGGGTTGCAGTGCCGTCCGCTATGAGTTGGTAGGCCGTTTTTTGACGACGAGGCAGATCAAATTTGATCAGATGCAACAGATCATGGCGTCCGTGTGGAAACCTATGATGGGTGTCAGGGTTCTCCAGATGAATGAAAACTTGTTCTTGTTCCAGTTCCCTCATCATAAGGACTTGCAGCGGGTCATCGACGACGGTCCCTGGTCTTTTGAAAATAACATGTTCGTGTGCAAGGAGATCACGTCCCAGGTTCGGCCGGAGGAGGTCGTGTTGGATACGGTTGATTATTGGGTGCAGGTTCATGACCTGCCAGGGCGCCATGCAACGCCAGATTTTCTGAAACAAATTGCTAACCACGTTGGCACTTTCATAGCGCTTGATCAGAATAATTTTGGAGGCAACTGGCGGAGTTTCTTGAGGGTTCAGGTGGCTGTTAAGGTGGCCGAGCCGTTGAGGAGGCGGATGAAAGTGCGTCAGCGTGATGGGACCTTTACGTGGATAGTGTTCAAGTACGAGAGGCTCACAACATTCTGTTTTTGTTGTGGCCTGCTTGGCCACTCAGAGAAGTTCTGTAAGAAGGCTTACACTGAGAACATATTGCCGGTGGATTATCCTTATGGGGGATGGTTGAGGGCTGGTGGGAGACGTCAGCAGCAACCGGTAGGGGCTCAATGGCTATTGTCTGACTTACCAGCTCAGCCGACCTTCGTGGCAGGGACAGTGGACGTGCCTAGTGTGTCCCCAGATCAAGTTGAAAACGCGGTGGTGTTACATGGGGAGTTGAAGCGGCGTCGGGAGGAGCCCGGGGATGGTAGTCACAACGGGGGAGGAGATTCTCATATGTCTGAGGTTGTGGAGAATATCACTACGGTGGGTCTGGAGTGCCAGGCTCGCCAGCAAAGATGAGTGTGCTAAGCTAGAACTGTCGGGGTATGGGCAGCAAACCGACGGTTCGTGAGTTACTGAGCTTGGTTGTCAAGCAGCTGCCTATGTTTGTTTTTATTTCAGAAACTAAATCAATAACTACGGCCCTGGAGAGGGTGAGAATAAGGATGGGGTTCGAAGGCTTGTTTGTGGTGGATAAGGTCGGAAGGGGGGGGGGTGGCCTGGCTTTGTTATGGAGGGAGCGTGACATGGCAACGTTACTGGGATATTCGAGGAACCATATTGACGTGTTGGTAAATCTTCCGGGGCAGGAGCCGTGGCGTCTTACCTGTTTTTACGGCTACCCTGACCAAGCAGACAGACAGTTATCATGGGACTTATTAAGGGGGCTTAAGAGGCGCTCGCGGTTGCCATGGGCAGTCATTGGGGATTTCAATGACTTAGCAAGTCATACGGAGAAGTGGGGTGGTAGAGTACATTCAGACAGATTAATCCAGGGCTTTAATGCAGCGCTGCATGACTGTGGGCCAAATGACCTGGGGATGGAAGGGCACGAGTTTACTTGGGAGAAGGGGAAGGGCTCGGCACGTTGGGTGCAGGAATGGTTAGACAGGGTTGTGGCAACGACAGATTGGTGTGCTATGTTTTCCGAGGCATTGGTCAGAAATCTTATTACTGTTAACTCGGATCATAGTGCTATAATTTTGGATTTAGAAGTAAGGCCTGTCCGGCGAGTAACCAGGAGATTTAAGTTTGAGTCTGCTTGGTTATTAGATGGGGAGTGTCGATAGGTGGTGGAGCAGTCCTGGGCTGTGACGGGGGGAAGGTCCTTTATGCAACGCTTAGAGCAGTGTGGTGCGGATTTATTGCGTTGGGGTGGGGAATATTTTGTGAAGTTTGGACGGAAGATACAGCAGTTGAGGGCTAAGTTGGAACGGCTGCGAAGTAGCCGTGTGCTGCATGATGTGGTTCTTTATGTGCGGCTGGAGAAGGAGTTGTGTCGGTTGTTGGCATAGGAGGAGGTTTACTGGAGATAAAGAGCGAAGCAGTTGTTGCTTAAAGATGGTGATAGTAACACCCGTTACTTTCATAAGTCTGCTTCCACTAGGCACCGTGTCAATGTGTTGAGAAGGTTGCGGGATCCCCAGGGCGTGTGGTTAGAGGGTTCGGCAATGGCGCCGGAAGTTATGAGATACTATACTGATATTTTCCGGGCTTCTGCTACGACTGGTAATCTGTTGCAACGTGTGGCGGGCCGTGTCACAGTTGAGATGAATGGGCATCTCTTGGAGCCCGTAACTCCCGATGAAGTGAAGGATGCAATCTTTTCTATGGCCCCGGAAAAAGCTCCAGGCCCGGATGGTATGTGCCCCTCTTTTTTTCAGAGTTTTTGGTCTATAACCGAAAGGGACCTGACGGAGTTTGTGATAAGCTGTATAGATGGCTGTTATTTGCCGCCAAATCTAAATAACACCAATGTGGTTCTTATCCCAAAGAAGAAAATTCCCGAGACCGTAGCGGATCTCCGGCCTATTGCCTTGTGCAACGTGGCCTATAAGGTCATTGCAAAAGTGGTCGCAAACCGAATGAAAACAGTGCTTGATCAGGTTATCTCTCCCAGTCAGAGTGCTTTTGTGCCTACTAGGCTATTAACGGATAATATAATAGTGGTGGGGGAGATAGGCCATTATTTAAGACGCAAGAGGGAAGGGGTAGTGGGCTGGGCAGCTTTGAAACTAGACATGGCGAAAGCCTATGACCGGATGGAGTGGGGTTATTTGGAGGGTATGTTGCTGGCATTAGGGTTCGCCCGTGGGTGGGTTGACCTTGTAATGCTATGCGTTAGTTCAGTTCGGTATAATATCTTGTTGAATGGAGAGGATGTGGGTACGGTGGTTCCATCCAGGGGTATTAGGCAAGGTGATCCAATATCGCCATACTTATTTATTGTGTGTGCTGAGGGTTTGTCTTTGATCTTGCAGCATGTCGAGGCAAGTTGTAACACCCCGTGTTATGGCCCCTAAAACCAATTGGTTAATTAATCAAATAGCCCAAGAGGAAGAATAAATTATAATGATTAATTAGGGAAATAGGCCCACCATAGTCCGTGGGCCCTCACCTCTAAACCCAACCCCTAATCCCAATAGGATTAGACCCTAGATAAGACCCTAGATCTATAAATAGGGAACTTAGGAGGCATCTAGAATCCCCACCACAATAATCTCTCACCACCCAAAGAGCTCCAAGAATTCCCCTAGGAGAAATCAAGAAATCAAGAAAGCTTAAAGAAAGATCCTTCATAGCCAAGGAATTAATTAAGGCTAAGAGGTAACACATGTCTCAGCAAAACCTATTTTCATAGCTATGATTCCCCCTTAGGGTTTCCCCCATATTATTGTGTATTGACAAGATGTGATGATTATTATTGATGTTTGATGTGATGATCCCATGAGGGATCTTGATAATCTTGATATTGGGAGATTCTTGATAATTATGGTGTTCTTGATGATTATATGGAATTCTTGATGATTAGGTGTTGTTCTTGATGATTGTGTGATGCTCTTGATGTTTATGTGTTATTCTTACCGAATCTTGTGATTAGAAGACGAATCGTATTCTTGTCGGTATAAAAGTGATTAGAACCCTAGGTTGTATCGTGTGATATTATTCTTAGTGTATCGGGTGGGGAAATCGCATGTTCGGGTCTTGATTATGTTTAGAAAAGCATGATAGGTTATGTGTCGTACGTTTCTCGTATTTGATCCGTTAATTGTCTACGTGTTGTCGTTAATTGCGTTGTAAAGTGTCTAAGCATGGTTTCGGGTTCCACAATGGTTCCCGGGGCGTAAAAGTGATGAAAAGAGTCAGTGGGGGGTAGGGGACCCGCCACCTACCCACGGCCGTGAAACACCGCCCGGCAGCGGGTAGCCGGCGGGTGGGCAGCTGCCCGCCGGCGACCCGCTGCCCGGAACAGTACATTCCGGCGGGCAGCCGACGGGTGGCCCCCCACCCACCAGCTACCCGCTGGAATTTATCCCACTTCGGGACCCCGGCTTCCCCGTTTGATGTCCCCCGACCCCCGTGGTGTCCCAACGGACTCCGTTTATCGTGTCTATGTCTAGTTTGATGTTTCGGGTACCGTTCGTAGGTTTATGAGTCTATTATATTGCATGCTAGTTGAATTGGTATCCCGTTGACCTAGGTGGAAGAAGTATGAACCCCTTAGGACTATTCTTAGTATGTGATGGATCACGCATAGGTTTTGTTATACGCTTTCTCCCCCTTCCCAATGTGTAATGTGGGTTGCATGTGCTTGCTATGTGTTATGTGTGTGTGTTACCCCAATTCGGTTGCGATCGGATTGGTTATCCTGAGCTGCGGTTCAGAAGCTGGCTACTGTCAGATTGATACTCTTGGGCTGCGGTCCACCGTTTGGTTGCGATCAAACGTTTCTATACGAGCTGCGGTTCATCCTCTTTCCTAGCTGCGGTCAGATGACATTCTCTTGGGTTGCGGTCCACTGTTTGGTTTCGATCAAACACTATGATGAGCTGCGGTTCATCGGTCAGTTGCGATCGACCCTCCGTGTTGCGATACGGGGCAGGGTGCTGCGGGGCCGTGTCAGAGCTATATGCGCTGACCCTCATGTATGGGCATGCGATTGGTCCTTTGGCGCCAACAAAGTGTGCTATGTGTTGTGATATGGATGAGTTGTGGTTATGAGTGTCTTGGGGGATGTGACTATGGGTTTTATGTTGGGGACTGTTTATGTTGGGTTATGATTATTGTTTATAATTTGCCTTATCTGCCTTATCTGTTGTGAACTGCATATGCTTGTTATAATTGCTACTAGTGTCCAGCCTTATCTGTCGAGTCATTCCCGGTTTTAAAAGCTAGAGTTCGTAGGATGTATCTTCATGCTCAAAATGGTTTTCGTATATCTATATATATCTCTATATGTATTGTATTTCAACGCGTTGGAGTGGGTTACCAGCATCTCTCGCTGAACAGATATATTTGGCTTTCAGGCACAGAGGATTAGAGCACTGGAGCACGCTAGAACTGGAGCGTAGTAGTAGAATAGTTTCCCCTTTCGGCCTGCGTGCCATGTTATGCTTTATATTCAGAGGATATTAGTTAGACAGCCTGTGCACCTGGGTTCTCTAGCCCAGGTGTGGCATAGCACCCCGTACACTTATGCTATACTTTGGGATGTAATGAGATATTACCTTTATTATATAAGTTTTTAAATGTCTTGAAAATCTGGGGTGTTACAGTTGGTATCAGAGCCTAAGTTTGACCCTAGGGAAAGACTCTGAAGACCGGTCTTTAGGACGTTAGGCTTGAACTCTAGGTACCTAGGAACATAGGACTCAGGAATCTTAGGACGCGCGGTGAGATTGTGAAACCTACACATAACTTCCCTACACCTTACCCTTCCCCATTCTAAAGCCCTTCCCCACTTATCACTTCACAAGAAGTGCATCGAACTCTAACTTAACGTTCTTATAAACACTGACCAGAAAGACGATAGCATGGCACCGAACAGAAGGCAATCAAGAACTCCAGAACCCGCCACTGACGACCCCTTGACCCAAACTCTACAGCAACTAACACAAGTCGCACAGGCACTAAGTGATGCGGCCCTTCGCAACAACAGGCCCCCACCGCCTCCATCAAATGCAAACTCGGACGTCGCCCGACAAGTTTCAAGGCACCGACCACCCACGTTTTCGGGAGAAGAAGATCCCGCGGTCTTAGAAGAATGGATCCGAACCCTTGATAAGATTTTTAGAGTAGTAGAATACCCGGAGGAGCGCCGCGTAGAGATAGCCTCGTTCTACTTCGGACACGAGGCCGATCTCTGGTGGATCCACGAGGGGCCCACTTATCAACAAGAACCGGGGTTCAATTGGGAGAACCTCAAGACACGACTGCGAGAGAGGTTCTATCCAACCTACGTAAAAGCATCCATGTACGAAGAGTTCCTTCATCTAAAACAAGGAACGGCCACCGTCGTAGAATACCATAAATGATTCCTCGAACTGGCACGCTTCGCGCCAGAGCTAGTCCCCACCGAGGTAACCAAGATAGAGAGATTCGTATCGGGCCTCAACTTCGAAGCTCGGAAGGCGCTAGTGGTAAGCAGACCTCGGACCCTCAACGAGGCTTACTGCAGTGCCGCGAATCTCTACCGAATCCAACTGCTCCAACGCGGAGTTCAGGAATAAATACGAAGAAGAAACACCAGAAGTGGGGCACCGCCAGTAAAAAGAACTAGGAACGACACCAGCACGAGGTCGAACAACCCGACCAACCAAAGACCGCCCCTGGAAAACAATGAAGTTAATCCAAGAAGCTTCCCTTGCCCGAGGTGCAACAAAAGCCACAGAGGCAAGGATTGCGCGGTTAACCCCTGGCGATGCTTCAACTACGGAGAGGAGGGACACAAGGCCTTCCAGTGCACTCGACCCCAAAGACCACGCCCCGCCACCGTGGGTCAACACGGGGGCACCGGTCACCAAGGGGGTTACGGCGCTCCCGGAAAAGTATTCGTTATGAGCCACACTCAAGCCAACCTCGGAAACGAAGAAGACCTAGAAGGGGGAAACCCGATCCTGGAAGACGAGGACCATACGGATCCCACAGAAGAAAATCCAGAAAACGAATTTTGTCTAGGATAAACCGTCACACCCCTTGTAACCATCCCCCCGTATCGTTTAGACCATTACTTAACTTAGCTATTTCGAAAGTATTATGAATAAAGATTTTTGATCGAATTTCGATTCCACTACGAGGGTAAAGCACAAGTTATACCATCAACCCAACCCTTCCCCCACTAAAGGACGAAACAGGGAAAAAAGATTTTTGATTGAATTTCAATTCCACTACGAGGGTAAAGCACAAGTTATACCATCAACCCAACCCTTCCCCCACTAAAGGACGAAACAGGGAAAAAAGATTTTTGATT